CACTGGAACGGTTTCTCTCCGTTGTGAGTTCTTTCGTGAACTTTCAGGGCATCATAACGAGTGAAAAATTTTGAACAAAACGAACACTGGAAAGGTTTTTCACCAGTATGACTTCTTTCGTGAACTTTCAAAAAAATACTTTTAGTGAAGGATTTCATGCAAATTCCACACTGAAACGGTCTTTCTCCAGTATGAATCCTTTCATTGTTCTTCAAAGTAATCTCATGAGTAAATGACTTTGAACAGAAATCACACTGGAATGGTTTCTTCCCCGTATGAATAACGTCGATTCCATTTTCCATCTTCAATTGTCCTTGATCGCCAATGACTTTGTTATCATCGTTGCTATCCATTGAGTCAGTACCTAACATGTCTGTTCCTCGTTCAGCAGGATCACATCGTAGCTAAAGTCCTCAGCTCGCATATAGTATGAGAAGTTTTCTTCATCAACAACTTCACACTTGAGATCTTCGTGAACAATGTCGACTTCATCTTCCATCTTCATTTGTCTGTGTTCTTCAATGCTCTTGTTATAAACGATTCTATCCATCGAAATCAGGTTGGTAATGAAGCCAGTATGAAAGATTTCAGCTCATTGTGGTTCAATTTTCAATAAGTTAATATCGAACTTTCCAGATTCATCGAACTTTTTAGCTTCTTGTGGTTCAGCTTTCACAAAATTTAATTCGGGAAACATTTTCGAATTAGTTTCGATGAATTTCTCCATTGCTCTTTCTTATGCATCACTAGCCATGTCGAATTCTATGAAAATGTTCTAGAACACACAATCATTCACAGACATCCAATTTGAAAAATTGTATACTTGTAAGAATTCCTTTGATAACACAACAGTAACAACAGTCAATCAGAACTGACTCTTTTCCGACCTGGTCACAATGATTCCTGACAGGTACCAAAATTTACTTGTAGTGAGTTGATGATATGTTACCTCATCAACGATACAGCTCGAAAAACTATTCAATTTCGTACAAGTTCTCTTGAAATATTTTATGAAATGGGGATATATTCATGGCTATCATTGCCGGAACAACAAATATAATAAATCAGTATTATTTGTTATTACATATTTTATTGGTAAATATTAAATTACATGAAATGGGAAATCTATAGTAAGTAAGTTAGTAAAATCGATGATATCTATCAATGTCCCTCAGTGAGAGATTCCGTAGCGATATTAGTAATTAGAGTGAAAGTTTTTGGACAAACCTCATACTGAAACGGGTTTTCTTCGGTATGACTTCTTTTTTACTCTATTTGTGATGGAGAAGTTAAGATCCATAGAAATTAACTTTTCAAAAAACCAATCTCTCCCTCACAATATTTCTTTTTCAATGCAGATCTTACCAATTAAATCATGATTTCTCTGTCGAAAATTTCCGTCAATCGGTGGACTTAAGAAACGAGAATGAATTTATTCATATAACTTAAACTTCATTACCCCTTAATGACTAGATTTTTCTGAGTGCAATTGTTTACAATAGTCAATAATAGTGGATGTCGATTGAAACCGAAATCACATGAACATTTTGAGTTCATGTGATTGTTTCAGAAGAAAACAATGTTATTAGCCATCTCGTTATAAAGATGAAATTCACATGGAAACGGAGTAAATTATGTATTGATCAAATATTGTTTGGAACAATTTTAAATCTGAACGATAAAGTTGATAACATTCCATTTCATTGTGGCTTGAATAATTTTGTGATGCAATCGACAGATACTTGATGAAAATCCATAATGTATTCAAGTAAACCTTCATTGTGATATTTTCTATAAACAGTTTCACAAATACGCTCGCAACACGTGTTTCGCTATACAATAGTTTCTTTAGGTTTGTTTTTCATATATGAAAACCACAAATTTAATGTTTTTTTTTGTTTTACTGATAGAAATATCTGAATTGCAGGTACCTGTGTTTTACCTACACTATTTATGTTAAATGTGTACCTGAGTTTGAGATCGATGACCATTATCATGAGAAAAAAAGACAAAGTGTACTACAACCTCATTTCGATAAACATTTAATGAATGAAATCAGCTGAGCTTATGTATTAGTTAGTTACCAATTTGGAAAAAAATTCAGTAACCAGAAGTTTTTTACTTTCATTTGATCACTTCATGAATGACTGAACCAATGAATCTATTTATTTCTGAGTTTAAAACTTCTTCTGAATGTAAAACATCATAGTCATGATTGAACTCATGTTCTTCTGGGGCATAATTCTCTCCACCTAATATTTCTCCATAAAAAATAGTGTTAGTTAAAATTTTTTTTTCGGGTAATGAATTACTTTGGAAATCACTGTCTTACTCTATATAGCATTGAGGAATTTTACAGATGATTATTCAAAAATTGTGAGGATTTGCTCCCATAATTGTTTCTAATAGATTGGGATTATGATTGAATTACCTATAACACATATCATAGTACTGAAACTAGATAAGTTTGATACATATTTCTATCCACATACCATAATGCTTGTGAAGTATTTCGTAATTTGTTTCATTCTCATCCTAGACATGTTTCTTTTTGTCTTTTCACGAGTTCAGTTCTATATTTTCATTCGCGTATCTGATGACATTCATCTAATTACATATACAATATCTTCGAAAGTCCCCCAATTGAAACTGGAAAAGAAAAAAAATGATTTATTTTTAAAATGAAATGATGATTTCTGGAAAAAAATTCGAACAACCGAATAAATAAAACTCATCAATTTCTATTGAATTCAAAAACAAGACAATAACAATATCTGAGCCATCTTATTATCATACGATTTTTTATACTTGTAGCATAAGTTACCTCCACGATTTTGAATGAGATTGTATCAGGCTGGGTTCTGCCGCCTCTGAATTTTACAATATTTCTACAACTACAACTTCTTGTCACATACATTCCAGAATAATTTCTAGATGAAGAATAAATCAGAGATATGCCCAATTCAATTTTGAAAAGATCTACTTGAATAATTGATGCCGCAAAAAAAATATCTCAATTCTTGTCGGGTACCTGCTGATTTGAATTATTAAGGTGCAGAATGTCAATTGAATATATCTCCTACAACAGTAAATTCCATTTCCTGACTAAATTTCAACGATATTGGCCAGCTGGACATCAAGCGGGAAAAAATATTTAATATACAGAATTATATGCTATGTGTGAAGTCTATATAAGGAAATAAATATTTTGAAACTACCTACACCGTAGGTTCTGATAAATGCCTAACCAAAAAATAACTACTTTCGATAACTCGCTGGAGTTATATCTGACTGACTATTATGTAAGATACCTCTCGTTCATCCAGTAGCAGCACCAAGCTGAAATTATTCGAGAAGATCACCTACAGACCGGTTTCGAGGTATCACGTCTCGTTAGTACAGAAAAGATCCTATAAGTGACTATAAAGTGGCTCGATTAATTTAAACGTGGCTCCGCTGCATATATGAACGTTCATCTAAAAGAAAAAACATCCCACGTACCAATACTTCAACAGAGATACATACGTATGAGAAAATACATTCTTCGAAATAAAATCTCGAAATTTTCATCTCTTACAACTACCTGCATGGAAGGTTCTGGTAAAGACCTACGGATAACCAACTACCTTCCCGTGTGATACCACGATGGATATTGAATATCCGACAGACATTTATGAAAGATACTTCACAAGGGTTAATCTCGCAGATGTTTCTTGTTCATCCAGCAGCAGGACCTTGTTAAAATTATTCAAAGATTATGATTGTGTTCACTCTTATATTTTCCTTTTATCAAGATTCTATCTAGAAATAACCATACCTCGTAAAATGGAACACTTATTTAAGTGTTCCATTATTCTTTGAAATTGAAAGGGATCCGATACTATACTATTAGGAAGGCGGTTGAAAATGGACAACCCCTAATGTGTTCAAATTGTACTCAACCTGTAGGATAATTCATTCAGGATAACCTGGATATGAGCAGATGGCAGGTTATATTCGGTAAACATGCGATTTTCACATATAGTCAGTGAGTATACTTGAAGACGCTATAAATCAAAAAATCTAATGGAACACTTCGTTCAGGCCAGTCTCAATTCCCTACAATGTAAATTAATGAACTGACGCCTATTAGAAAACAGCTACTCCCCTGGCTAACCCCACGAAGATCATTGGATTATATCTGAGAGGTGTCAGCGCAGAATTCTACACTGAAGTTTTTCCTGCATAAGCTTTCGGCGATACAACTGCCGAAATTGATTTTCAATTTTTGGAACACACTTGCAGACCGGTTTCGGGCTGTTTGGCCTTTCGACATTGCAATGGAGTGTATATTATCAACACAAAGTCGATAATTTCCAAGAATTGAAAATTGATTTCCTTCAAAGTATCATTTCTCGAACTATGCTGAAGCGAATAACAAACGACAGATTTGTCTCCGCCACGTCTTCCTGTGAAGGAAGTAACCTACTGCATATCCGAAATTTACCCAATTCCTCGTATAAGGAAAGAAAACCATTCATATATAGTCAGTGGGCATACTTGAAGATTGGCTTAAAATCAAATCATCTAATGGAATAATTCGTTCAGGCCAGTCTCAACTCCCTCACTGTGTGTTGATGGACTGATACCTATCAGAAAACAACTACACCCCTGGCTAAAACCACGAAGGGCATTGGATTATATTCTGGATCACACCAAAAACGATGAGGGACCCTATTTTAAAGTTGAAGTGTTAGGGCGTAGCATACTGGGGTTATTAGACTCGGGTGCCTCAGTCACTATCTTAGGACACCCAGGTTGGCAAATCGTGTAAGATTTGGTACATTTGAATTCAGCAAAGAGAATCAGTTGCACTGTTGCCAATGGTCAAGTCTGTGAAGTATAGGAGAATGTGAAGTGCATTTTGTTCAAGAGGCAAGCTGAAATCAATTCGAGTTTTAGTGGTTTCTGATGTCCCTTATCACCTAATTTTGGGAAAGAATTATTGGAGAGCAATCGAAATGGTTCCGAATCTGAGGCACAACGAGTGGACATTTTCTGAGGAAATTTGCTATCTGAACGAATTGGACCATCTGCGAGGACAAACAGTTTTATCACCACTGGAAGAGGCCCGACTGAACGCTGTAGTAGAGAGAAACAAGGAGCTCATGGGGAATAATTTAGGCTGTACGAATATGTCTGAACATGTCATCGTGACCAACTCACTATCCATCAAGCAACGTTATTATCCTGTGTCGCCTGTTATTCAACAACATATTGATCGAGAACTAACAGAGATGTTGAAGAACGATATTATTGAGACGCCGAATAGTGACTGGTCATCACCGGTTCCTCTCGTTAAGAAGAAATATGGGAGCTACCGCTTTTGCGTTGATTACAGAAAACTCAATTCGGTAACGGAGACCATATGCTTCTCACACGCTCGATGAATGAAAAAATGCACATTATTTGTCCTCTCTTGATATCAAGTCTCCGTATTGGCAAGTTCCTATGGTGGAAAAGTCGAGACAGTGTACAGCGTTTAACGTTACTGAGCGTGGTTTGTTCCAATTTAAAAGGATGCCGTTCGGATTACATAATTCACCGACAACGTGGCAAAGGTTGATAGATACCGTCCTAGAACCTGAACTAGAATCACACGTATTCGTCTATTTGGATGATGTAGTAATCGTTACCTAAACTCTGGAGAAACTTCTGACATTTCTTGATGACGTTTTCCGCAGATTGAGAGAAGCGAAACTCACTGTTAGCTTCGAAAAGTGCCAATTTTGTAGGCTAATAATGAAGTATTTGAGGTACGTTGTAGATAGAAATAGGTTGCATATTGACCCCGATAAAGTCAAGGCTATGTTGCAGCTTCCAAGACCAGGATAGGTAAAAGATGTCAGAAGACTGGTGGGTACATTTTCCTATTACAGGAGATTCATACCTGAGTTTGCATCCATCATGTCCCCACTCACATCGCTGCTGAAAAAGGATATAAAGTTTGACTACACCGAAACTTGCGATATCGCTTTTCAGAAAATGAAAGAACGTCTTATATCAGCAACAGTGCTAAGCTGCCCGGATTATTCCCTTCCATTTGTTCTGCAAACAGACGCCTCGGCATTTGGAATTAGCGTTGTTCTCACTCAGACTCGCGAGGAGGAGGACGTAGTAATTTGTTACTTGAGTAGATCATTGACGAAACAAGAGCGCAATTTTTCTACTACAGAAAGGGAATGCTTGGCCGTGCTGTGGGCGATTGAAAAACTGCGACCTTATTTAGAAGCTATTCCGTTCACCGTAATAACCGATCACTATTCCTCGGTCTAGGTACAGAATTTGAAAGAAATGCATGCCATATTCCACTGTCTTTGCCTCTCTCGTCTTTCAGCTGATAAGCCCAAGGTGAGACGATCTGATGAACTGTATAAGGTCCGACAAACTTTGGAGCTAATTTGGCAGAAAAGTGATTTTTAGTATCAGATATCACATGGTTTTTCTTCCAAACTAATTTATTCACCTTAAAACGCTCATCCCGACGACGAAGGTTATACAACTTACGACTCCTACGATGGGTTCCTGTAAGACTTCTATTGATATCTTTGAAGACCTCTTTCAAAGATTCTGATCTCATTTTGAAGTCAGTTTTTCGTTCGGGGCTATGATATAAAACCGACTCTGAGCCCGAAATTCTGATTTCACGTCCAAATGTTGCAAAGTTACGGGTTATACCCGTAACCTCATGTTTAGCGGACCGGATTGCCCATGCAACTTTTGGTAAGAATTGATCCCATTTTTTATGTGATCAATTCTGACAAAACTACCCGTTACCGTTTTAACTACCCTGGAAACTCGTTCCACAGGATTCGCTTGAGGGTGGTATAAAGCAATGGGACAATGTTTTATTTCATAAGTCATAAGTCAGACTTGACTTAAAAACTGTTTACCGTTATCAGATATTAGACGGTTCGGAGCACTAAACAACAAAATCACTTGTTCTTCAAACATGTTCGTAATTCTTGCGGCAGATATTAGACGGTTCGGAGCACTAAACAACAAAATCACTTGTTCTTCAAACATGTTCGTAATTCTTGCGGCAGTAGCCGTACGAAGAGGAAATAACAATGTGAACTTTGTAAAACAGTCCAAGACTGAAAGAATAAATGCATTACCTTGTGATGATCGAGGTAATGGGCCAACCAAATCTACGCAAATGATCTGCTATAGTTTTGTGGTAGTAGGAGAAAGGCTCAACAATATCGTTCTTCATTTTCGGCCAGTAGTACTTTGTTGAAACACGACCATAAGTTTTCCAAATTCCTAAATGATCACAAGTAGGTACATTATGGTTACTTCGAATGATATCTGAATGATTTTCCTTTGGTATTACTTCCAACCATCCGTCGGATTCATCAGTCAAATCAGGATATTTTGGTCGAGACCTTTTATAAAGTGTATTTCCCGAGATTCTCCAGAGTGGATATTTCACCCCGGATTTTCTCACTTGGGTGAACATACTGTTATACCAGACATCTTTAGAACTATTTACACCAATATTTTCAACTTCTACAGTGTCCACCACCTGAACTGACCGAGACAAGGTGTCCGGTACGACATGATCTTTCCCCTTGCGATGAACAATGTCGAAATCACAATGCTGAAGGTACACTGCCCATCGAGCTATACGACCAACTGGATCCTTTATATTGTAGAGCCATTTCAAACTATAGTGGTCTGTAATGACAGTAAAATGAGTCCCTTCAATATATGGTATCAATTTCTCTATCGCGAATAAAACAGTCAGACATTCTTTTTCGGTGGTACTGTACTTTCTCTCAGTTTTTATCAGTGAGCGACTCAGGTAACAGATCACCTTCTCGTCATCCTCGTGGTTCTGAGAAAGGACTGCACCTGCACCATAAGCACTGGCATCTGATTGAATTTGAAAAGGGAGATCGAAGTTGGACACGATAGAATAGGCGACGTAATTAAAAAATCAATGTTCATCCCAGATGAATTTTTTATTCTTTCGCGATAAGGATGTCATTGAAGCTACTACGGTAGAAAAGTTCGGAATGAATCATATATATCACGATGCCATTTCAACAATGCGCCTGACTTCCGACACCGTTTTTGGGATTGGAATTTGGATAATTGCTTCAACCTTCTCAGGGTCGACCGTAAGGCCCGAGGCATTCAAAATATAACCAAGGTATTCCAATTCTGGCTTAAATAAATTACATTTGGCCTGGTTCAATGTTAAGCCTGCCTTTCGAATTCGACTGAGAACTTCCCTAAGTATCTCAATGTGTTTAGAAAATGTTGAAGTACATACAATTACATCGTCCAGGTAAACAAATACAAATTGTTCTAAATCTACACCTATTACTCGATCTATAAAACGTTGCCATGTAGCCGGTGCATTATAGAGGCCAAAGGGAATTCCTTTAAACTGGAACAATCCGCGTGTGGGAACAACAAAGGCAGTTAAGGGTCTAGAGGACTCGGCGATAGGAATTTGCCAGTAAGCACTTTTAATATCCAAAGTACTGAAAAATCTAGCATCTCTTAACTTGTCCAATGTCGAACTCACGAAGGGGATTTGATATGCATCTTCGTTTGATTTTTTATAGTTTACACAAAACCGGTAACGACCATCTGCTCTAGTTCGAGGTTAACTTGTTTTTGGAGAATTGGTGACAAAGGATAATGACGTTGTTTTATAGGGGGCGAAGTGGTATGAATCTCGTGCTCTACAATAGTTGTACAGCCCAAAGATTGACTCATTTCACGAAAAGTAGTTTCAATGAGCTCATTTAATTCAGCCCTCTCTTCAGCCATTAAGTTATCTATAGTTTGTATAGCACTGATTTGGAAGGGTGCTAAATTCTTGTCTGATCGAAATGACCATTGTCCAGAGTGAAGGTCTGATATGATACCGAAGCGTTGCCAAAAATCTATTCACAAAATTAAAACATGTGAAATCGTTGGTACCACTAAGTCATCAACAGCATGCACACGATCATGAAGCTGAATAGGAATATTTATTGTACCTACTACATCACACTTCTCTTCATTTGCTACAGTACAAAGGTTCGAAGAAGTACCGTGTGATAAAGAAGAGACATTTCTCAAAAGGCTCCAACCTGGTCCACCTATCACTTTCGTTGAACAGCCAGTGTCCAAAAGACCGAGAAACTCTTTTCCAAATATATTCACTTTCAAGTACAGTCTTCTGTCGTTCTTTGCATGAGCCAGAATATAATTTATTACATGAGTGAAATAAGAAGTAAATTCGATCGGATTTTTATGAGTGCGAGGTTGTGACCGATCTATGACGAACCTCGTTTCACATTTTTCTGACAATTTGAGCAGCTTCTTGAGATAGTATTTTCCCGACCACGAGTGAAACAAAATAGGTTTCTTGCCTGCTTGCATTTCCTGAACTTATGTCCCGATTCTTTACAGTTCCAACATATACTAGGTATGACGTTACTAAGTGGTCGTTCGTGAACAGTCTCAGTTGTGAGTGAATATTCAAAATTTCGTTTCTCAGGCTCATGTCGAACAGCGTGAACAGGATTGTTTTGCGAATAATGACCAGCTGATTTTTTGTACACTAAATCCGGTTCTAGCAGCTATCTTGTATTTGTAGGAGGCGGGCAGAAAGTTTGAGTCCTCACTGAGGTCTCTTCTATAGCTCGACTCAGTTTGGTCAATTCAGTTAGCGAAGAGATTTCATGTAGAGTCAAATGAGTTTGAATATAGGGAAGCAGGTTCCTTTTTATCATCTTCACACAACACTTCTCAGGCAGATCCAAGTTTGTTGAAGAGATTTTCCATTGTCACTATGAAGTTGATCGCCTTTTCCTTGGCTCCATGAGTTCTGTTTCTGATCTCTTCCCAGAGATCGTACTCGTACTCATATGGTAAGAAATCTTCCTTCAGCTTAGTAACTAGCTGAGTCCAAGAGCTGAAACGTTGTGTTCGATACCACAATAAGGCATTCTTGGTGAAAAGTTCAGGGGCTGATCAAAGAAGCTGTTCTGGAGATACTCCGCGAGAAATTCGTATCTCTTCGATTCTCTCTAGAAAATTAGTGACACTAGAATAACCATCAAAAGTAATTCGCATTCGTGAAATATCGAAATGCTGTTGATAGCATTGGTTTCGAAAACTGATATCAGATTCATTTATCGACATTTTACGAATTCCATTCTGTATATCCTGAGTAGAATTCATTGCAACTAATATTTCCCTTGAATCTCGTAGTCCTGCTTCGTATATTGAAGCTGGAATGTCTCGAGTACCATGAGAGTAAGTCGGTTCCAAAGTTGTTCACGAAACTCTTTCAGCATCCCGTTCTCCATTGTTTGAGCTACATTACAATCTTGAGACAGATGAGTAGCTTTAAACTGAACATTACTTGGCAGAAGTGGAATGC